AATGAAAGGGTATTTTTCTAAGAAAGTTCTTATTTTATTTCAGTGCCTTTTGTTCTTCAGTAAGAAGCATTTTCATTTCTATCCATTATGTCAGCTTGGATAAAATCTATTTTTACACTATGTAGGGTTTATTTTAGAAGAAAGAACTTTTTTCTTCAGTGTTCAGAAATGTTTACTGCAAAAAGATCATATATTTAGCACACTGATTCCATTTTTTTCTCCAAAATTATTTTATGTGATCTATTTTAGTTCCTTTCTTGCATCAGGCAAGCTGGATTTCAGTCAAATGGTTGCATTGGTCAGCTTGCATGTATAATACTTCATAGCATTATACAAAACATCTCCATGGTGTCTGTCATTCCTAGGACCTCACATGGTCAGTGGGATTCTTGATCTGAATTTGTGTCTATTTGATCCCATTAAAACCATGGGGTGTTTAATTTTTTTTTCTATCATCTCATCCTGATTCAAAATATGCATGCTGTTATTTCTCATTTACTGCTCCAGTATCTAGCTGTAAACAATGCAACAAATGCTTGAAAGTCTCACCTTCAACTTTTCAATTTAAGTCCTTGATTAATGAAGTGGAAGAGCTGCATAATGCTGATGATTCCCTTTCAAGTGGCAATAAATGATAGAAGCAGCTTGATGAAGAATGGATAGGTGAGGTTATAAAAGTCAGGTGTGAAATCTAGCTGGTGCGAAGAGATAGGAAGAACACAGTTGGAGCAAAGAGGCAACCAGAATATAGCAAAGATTATCCAGCTAAAATGGTGAATCTGCTCTGGGTGGAATTATTTCAGCTAAAAACAGGCACTTGGAAGTTAGACATCTGTACTAATCCTCCATTGCTTCCTTTCTTGTCAATAGGAAGATTGAGCCACCTGCAGATGACAGAATTATTGCCTTGGAGATTCTTGTTTCCTCCCAGGGCAGTAAAGAGAGCTTTGGGCAATGAACCTGTCCCCAGCCTGGCTGTCTAAAGGATCTTGCTTTTAGATCTACCTCTTGTATTTGGCTGGTTCCTCTTAGTACCTGTGTGCAGGCTGGTGATGTCCTCTCTGCATTGTTGAGACATCGCCCTTCTTGCGGCTGAACACATAGCTCTGACATGAGCTCTGTCACCATGCGACAACATTGCTGCTTTGGCACATTAATAATCAGACAATGCCTGGACTCTAGATCTCTTGCCCACCTGTAAAAATGCACTCATTAGACAGTCTTGTCCCTGCTTGTCTTCTCCTCTTCTATTCATATTTTGGAATTGCACAAAAGTCTCCTTAGATAATAAAGTCAGATTGTGTTCAGTCTTCTAAATAGAAAAGGGAAGTGTGCAAGGTCACAGAGATAAGGCTGTCGTGATCTGTGGATGTGTTTTTCTTTTTTAAACCATTACATAGACTTTCCTAGCCTTTTCCTGATTCTCCCAATGAATGTAACAGAGCACAACTGACATATTCTATCAGTCTCTGTGAAGATAGAAGCTGACTAACTTCTCCTCCTTGACCACTCCTTCTTGCAAGAAGATATAGTTATGATCTACAACAAGATTTCCAGACCTCTGGCTATGTGACAGTAAATTCATCCTAAGAAGCACAACTTGGAATTCCTAAGGTTCAGTGCTCTGAATAGTTCCATCATGTAAATTCACCAGGCCTTAAGGAAGTCTTCCAGTTTGCAGTAAAGCTCCAGGATTTCAGGTTACACTTTTCCAGGATAACCCTTCAGGAACACTTTGGAGGATTTAAACAACTGGAAAGATCCCAGTTCTTCCAGCATTCATTGCTCTAATTGAGCACCCCTCAGGATACCTAGCCGTGGAGACCTGGTACCTCCAAAGACTCTGATCTCAGCTTTCATGTTGAGATTGCCCCTGGAGTTGTGGAATTTGTCAATCAACCTTAGGATTTTGTACCTTAAAAGATTTGCCTCCAAAAAGACATGTCTGGGAAGCTCTACTATGCATGCCTGGATTGTATGTCTGTCACAAAAACAGCATTCATCAATCAGCCTAGCTTCAAGTTCTTTGGAGTCCATAATATGTGTAACTGTGTTTATATATGGAGTTTGCACTTAGATTCTTTGGCTGGCAAGAAAGACTGAACTATCACATCTCCAGTAGAGCTAACAAAAATGTAGGATTTCCAGTTTTCCATGATCATTTGCTTGAAAAAAGCAAGTCCAGCATCAGGATGAATATAAAAGTTGTCTTGAACCAAGAAAAAAATTTAGAACCACCACCATTACGATGTCAAAGTACACTCAGAATGTTCAGCTGCCAAACGACTTAAGCATTACTGGTAGTTAGGATTAGTTGTGTTTCTAATTCAAAATGATCAAATTTACAAAAGCCATATACTTTCTTCCACTGTTCTATAATACATCAGTATTTCTCTGTTAGTGTTGACTTTATAATTACATTTCATTTTCTGAAGCCCAGGAAGTGCTTGGAAGAACAGTCAGGCTTTTCACTCACAAAACAAAGCTAACACAGCAGCATTAGTCAACATTTCTTTTTCAATCTGTACATAATTGTATTATATTTCAGGCAGTGCTATCAAAGCATAAGATGCTGAGCAACAGTCTTACAGAGAACAGCCTTGTTGCATTTGTGTCAGTTCATGTCTTTCCCTGGTTGTGAATCATGGAATATTTCAGCAGAAGACATTAATGAACCTGCAGCCTCTTGCTTAAGCATTCATCTTATTAATCATCCCAACCTGTTTCTGCTCTGTTTCTAAAGCATATTTTAACAGGAATGCTTAACTGTGATGAATTATAAAAGTTTATTTAATTCTATGAATGTGTGTAGATTTCCATAATGCCTTATTACTTGGGGATTTTCTATCATTGCAACTGTCTGCTTGCTTTGCCATAGCAGCTCTCTCTATTACACAGCCTTTGGCTTCAGGTCTCCTCTGAGCCTGGAGTCAGATCTCCTCAGACTCTTGGGCACAATGGTTATTTTTGCACACGGTTCTGCAGCTGGAGCAGGGGTGATGAGAACAGTGTCTGAAATGTGAGCGGTATATTTCAGCCCACAGAACAGCTGCTTTTATGACCCAATTTTGCTTAATGTGTTATACCTAGAAGGTAGTGGAAGAGCAAGCAAGGATATTTGCAATACATGGGCAGCATGTTCAAGGTTAGAGAGGACTGTGGAGAGCAGGAGGAGCCAGACCTGCTGTTGTCATGTTCATACTGTGTGTCAGGAGTGACCAGCTCTTTGAAGAGTAAGTGGTTAAGTAATTTCACAGGCTGAAAAGAGCAGGAAATTAGGACCCTGCCTAGTAGACCTGTGAAGGTGTCTTCCCTTTGGAATGGCACTTGGGCAGTTAACAGCAGCAGTGGACACTGTTAGTGGATATTGACACTTGCCATGCATTGATGTTCTGCTGCTTTCTCACTGTGACTCATCACGATTGCAGCTTGAAGATAAATGTTAGCTTCTTAGCAGTGCTATATTTTGTGTATTAGCTTTATCTGATAACCTAAAGATAAAGTTGCAATGAGCCTGACTAGGCTTGTTGTAGACACTAAAATGGGCATATCCCACTTTCTTCCACCATGGTCCTTTCTCAGAATTGTTCCCAATGTTCTGCAGAATGCTGAAAATAAACACTATGAAAATAAAAGTTGCTGGACCAATCAGATGATTCAGATACTCCTGAGGCCTGTGATTACTAATGACAACACATAGAAAGAAGATAGAAACATGTGGCTGAGATTTGAGGGGAGAAAAGGGAGGAAGGGAAACTTTCCTTTTGAAAGCAATCAGGAGACAGAAAGACTCAAGCCCAAACACTACAAAATTAAATTGTGCTCCTCCCATCTATTCTCCTCCTGCCTTCCAAACAACTGAAAAACCTACCTGGCACAAACAAGAATAGACCAGGAGTTACTTCTTAGAGATCATGTTTGAGAAGCAGTTTTCCATGAAGTCAACTAGAATACCACTGAGACAAATTTTAAGGTTCAAGGTGGATTAAGCCCAAACTAGAGTGATGCAGGACTCTACAGGTGTCTGCACAAAATTTCTAAAGGATAAGACGGTAGAGAAAAGGCATGTTGAATTAACTGTATCTCAACACCTATATGTGAGAGACTGGTCTTTTTTGTGGTTAATTTTGTCCCTTTAATGAGCACAACAGTATGAAATTACTTTAAGAAATTGTGAAAAATTAAAAGCTCTATTGGTATTGTTATCAAAAAAGCTTTGTAGATAATAATCTGAAATATGCATCTAAATGTTCCATGTTATTTTGTCATACCTTATTATACAATATCTTCTTCAGAGAGATTTCAATGTTTCTAGCATTAGAGAGTTTCCACACAGTTTTCTCTGGAGCTGTTAAACCAAGTTCATGTCAGACAACTTGCAAAATTTCCCATTGAGATTGAATATTTCTATATCAGTTTGTGTCCAGTGCAATGCTTGCACTGCACACCTGAAAACAGTTTCCAATCCTTCATGCCCCAAAGGAAGGAATCAACAAAATATATCCTGCTGGAGACACTACGCTTTCCTATGGAAATGTGACACTTTAGTTCAACGTTGACAAAACCAAAAGAAATTATCTTCCTTATTGTGTGGGTTCCAATTGAAATAAATTAATGTGTTGGAACAATTCCTACAGTCATAAATTTTCCAGTTTGAATGATATTGCAGCAGATATCAAGGACATAGTTGGCAGTGGTGACTGCCTTTAAGACCCTTTTTATACTTGTTAGGATACAATGGGAAAAGAGATTGAAGAAAGCCAAATAAATTGCCCTTGTAAAAGCAGATGATTTTTTTTTTCTTGTTTTGCCTGACAAATTAATTCCGGAAACATTGATGAGAAGATAAAATTTCATCTAGCTAGATGTAATTTACAGCACTTATCCACCTTTCCTTTATAATTAATGGAAGAAGGATCAATCCATTGTGAGATGTGTCTAGAATAGTCACAGAATAGTCACACAATATTAATGCTTAATGAGTTGTCTTCTATTTACAGGTTTTATCTGGGGTGAAATTAAACAGATGTGGGATGGTGGACTACAGGACTACATTCATGATTGGTGGAACCTCATGGATTTTGTAATGAACTCCTTATACTTAGCAACAATCTCTTTGAAAATTGTTGCATTTTTGAAGGTAAACCTTTTTTTAATTCAACAAAATATTTAAGATAAATTACATTAGGCTTCAAACTTTCTTCTTTATTTGGTGGTTCTCAGGCTTAGCAATGCAAGAGATGCATGATGTACTCATTGAATCTTCTGCAGCTATGAAAAGAAGTTAGACCAGAATAAGAGCTAACAAAACATTATGATTTATAATTTTGTCTTCTTGGTCCATGCAGTCTTTTGTTATTTGATCCTGAACAGTCATACTGTCATTTTCTTGGAAAAGAAAAATCACTTGTAATATTTACTAATGTTTGCACAACAGCATGTTTTGTATTAGTTTTTGCTTACATTATAGTAAGAAATTATTGCCCCTAAGACAGTTTCATGCACCATGCAAAACTTCTGGACAGGGCTACAAGAAAAGTATTTACTCAAAATAATGAAAGAAAGAAAAAAGCTAAAGAGCAAGATTTTAATTTTGCTTTGAAAATTTATGATAACTGTCATGTGAAAAATTAAAACTGAAGGGGATAAATGGTCACTTGAAGCTGGGAATGTTGATTTTCTCATCCTTTTCCTGGACTTTATAAGAATATTTTTATATTCCTACAGTTTGTATTATCTTACAGCAAAACAGCTCTTTTTTTAAAAGCCATAAACATGTTGTGTTCTGTATGGGTTCAACATGAATCCATAATATGATAGAAATTCCTCATAAAATGGAATATTTTAATAAAAAAAAGGGTCAAAAACTCAAGGAAACCACATCTGAACGGAAATGAAAGCACTTAACAGCATCTGCCATGGAGCTTTTATCACATCCAAGTAAAGATAACAAGCCCATTTGTATTGGCCACTCTGATCATAGAATCATAGTATGGTTTGGGTTAGAGGGGACCTTAAAAATCATCTAGTCCAACTCCCCTGCCATGGGCAGGGACACCTTCCACTAGACCAGGTTGTTCAGCATCGTATTTCAGCTGATTCAAGTTCCTTGCCACCAGCTACCCTGTATTGCATGGAAGGTGTCTTTCCTCTGCCAAGACCCTTTTGGCTGGGAAAAGAAGAGAAGACAGCCGTCAAGTAGCTGGTTACACTTCCCTTTCCTCAAACAGCAGCTGTTCCCGCTGCAGGCCTGCCATAAGTATAGAGGAACATGTGAATCTCTAATTCATATCATCTTGTGTCTATTCACAAGGGTCCACATGTCAGTTGATCAGGGATGAGCAATGACCTATGATTTCTAGCACACTGGCTCTCTGGCTGCAAACCTGCAGAAGTCATCTCACTCAAAGAAATTCAAAGCTGTTGCATAAAAGAGCAAGATGCTTGAAAGTGTGAGGAGAGCCATCATTTAAAGCTGATTAAATGCCTTTTCAGAGACAAGGATGCCTTATCATAAAGTGACTGGAAAATTAATAGAGCACTGTCCCATGTAACAAAGCAAGCCGTTCATTGAATATCCATGTTTTCAAAGCATTGGAGATCACCAGTTATTCACTTTAGAATAATATTTGTTAGAAGACATAATGCTTTCATCTCCCAGACAGCTTCTGCTTACAGTAATCAGATTCCAGGGTGACAGTATCTGGGACTACGTGCATTCATTATTCTCCAAATTAGTACATGCATGCCAAACATAACAAACACAGTGCATAAAGCACTCTCTTTGATTCTGTTGCTATTATTTTTTTTTATATGCAATGTTGCACCCACATACATTTTTGTTCTTTAAAAGAGCCTCAGTTGTGGTAGGCAATGGAAACACATGATGGTGTAATGAACAGAATAACTTAATACCCAGCCACACTTCCTTCAAATACCTGCAACAGAGTTCACCACCTCTATGCCAAGTGGGATTGAGAGCATGGCAAATGGAAGCAGTACATTTTGATGTAAAGCTCTTATTTTCATTTCCTAAACCTTGCAAGCAGATTTTTCTAAAATACAGGTTTTCTGTATTTATTGAATCAAATCTAGAAGTCCAGTTCTTAGATGATTCTATCTTCTATGAATCAGCTCAAGCCAGCTGAGAAAGCATGTTAATCAGCTCTCTTGAATAAAGTTATGAGAGTGCCCTCACACTGCTCTCCTGTATGACAGGATTTCCCAGAGAAAAACACAATGTTTATTGCCCATTCAAGGCTCTCTGACTGACATGTAAGTTAAACAGATGGATATTATTTACAACCGCTGATGGGATAGTGTAAAATACACCAAAGAGTGTAATTTCCAGATAAGAGAACTACGAGGATAACTGAAAAGTTATCTGTTTTACTGCCACTATTCAAATAAAATTAGTACATCTCATATTTTTCAGAGGGCTATGCTTTTTGTCTCTGTATATCAACATTTGAGGTCTTTTTAAATTTCCCAGTATAACCACTGAAAATGCTCTCTCCTTAGTAAATTATGTGATTATAAATAGTGCATTATCACATGTTTTATGAGAATACAAGTTGACTGATTTCAAGCTACTCATCTGTTTTGTTGGAGGGTTATAAATATAAATAGAAATCATTGTGCTCTAAGAAAAAATGTTCTTTCTGTGTTTCTGGAAGATAGTTTATTTTGTAGTGCCGCATACAGTTAGATACAGTGCCAAGTTATGTGAAGACTCTTTGCTTTATCTCAAATATTTTTTAAACCTAAGCACTGGACCTAGTGCTGCCTGCTTCCAATTCTGATAGAGATTGCATGCAAGTTCATGATTATGTGTCTTGGGCACTGACATGAAAAGCTAGTGGGGAAACAGATTCCTATTCAAGGCAAGAACTCTGAAAAGTAACTAAAGCATTATTTGTCTCATTATTTACTGGCTTAATGATCACTGTGTCAGATATGCTCAGTTCAATAGTAAATAAGATTACATTTCTCTTCTGCCACCAGTTCTATGGAAACTAACACCTTCTTATGTGTTTGCTCTGCAAAATGGTTTTGATTGATGTTTCACTGGATTCACAGACCAATTGTCCATTTACATAGGTGTATTCACTCTCCTCTCTCTCAAAAAATTATAGACTCAATTCACCAGTGTAATTACTGTTTTAAAGCTCTTTGCTAGGCAATCCCCCCACCCTCTTCCTACTGCTGCTCTGAAATTCAGCATAATGAATGCAAAGATTGGGACATACATTTGAAAATAGGAAGAGTTCACATTCCCATATGACTTTTCAGGAAAGGATTTAATACTGTTTTCCTGAAATATATATTATTTAAGCTTTCTTTTTGTTATCAGAAACAAGAAGTCACATTTGACAAAGGTCCAACAACCCATTATATGTTCAGGTAGCCTGATCTGCATGTCTGTTTGATCTCTCTTAGTGCTTTCATGAGATCTGCAGTTCATTACTTTTGTTTTCAATGGAAAAACAAAAATTTACATTTCAGCTTTTTTGTCACAAATGGTTCTGATATTAGATTTGTATTTGAATTAATTTGAGAAATTGAAAAGAATTATTCTTTTGTATTCCCTGGGTGACATTGCATAATTGCACAATTGCCTTGATCCTGTTCATATCCTTCTCAATTTGTTCTATACTCTTTCCATTGATGTGCCATGTACATTTCCTTCAACCAGTGAGACTATGATAGGTATTATTTAATCATGTTAAATGATGATTGGCTTTGTTACATGTCAAAAGTTGTGTTTGCATTTGAAGTGGGGACAGAAATTCATCAGGGTCACAAAATAATAAAGACTGTAAAGTATTGACATTGTGATTTACAACAAGCTCAGTGTTGCTATATTTGCACTTACCATTTTCCATTCCCTAGAACAATAACTTTATTTATTCTTTGTAAAACAGAAGAACATCAACAAGCATGAGTGAGAGAACAAATACTTCAGCGTGTTTTGGGTTTTTTGCTCCTAAAATGCAGTATTTCTTTTTTCATATTTTCACTTTTTCTGGTTTTAATATGCCTAGGGTTTTTTTGCTTCTCTGCTTTCTTTTTGTTTTTACAAGTGAACTTCTTTGTTCTCCTGGTTTTCCTTTGATATTTCTAGATTTCTTTTCAACATACTCTAGTTAGTGCTATCAATAGAGTTTTGCTGTCAGAGCCCTCTTATACTCAAGATTTTCCTTATATTATTTGCTGTCTTCTTTCAGCTAGTATTTTTCACAGATCACTTCCAAACTCCTCAGGGCTTCACCTTTCTCACTTTATTTCTAGTCTCTTAAATCATGTCTCTTCAAAACTAAGATAACAGCCCTTACTCTTTGCTTACAATTATGAGACCTTCTTCACTGTATCCACATGTGCAGGAAGCATTTGGGCCCAAGAAAGGCAGAGTCAATTAAACTGAAATAACACAATTGTGCCTTTGATTTCCCTTTTTCAGATAAGAGGTCATTTGATCTTTTCTGACTGTTTTAACACACTAGTTTTGTGTCTCAATCCAGAACATCATAGATAAAGTACTTTCTTCTCACTTTTCTCCTTAACCTCATTTCTTCTAGAAAAGATGACATTGGATACATCTTATCAGACTTCAGGTCTAAGATAGCCTCTCCCCTACCCCAATAATCAATGAGGAGAAACAGAGAAAGTTAGAGCAACTCATCTGACCTCTTTGGGACATCTGCTTTCCTGCTGCTCTAGAACTGTCCATTTTTCTTTGCTGACTGTGAAAGAAGTTGGCAGATAGCACAGATGTGACTGTCCACACCTGATGGGTTTAACTTGATCTTTGCTGTCTTACTATGTCATACGCTATCCTTATTCAGTGTCCTGTAGTTCCATGTTTTTCTCAGAAGGGTACTTCATTAGATTTTTTTTTTCACCCTGCTTGTTTAATTTCCTTGGAATCTGCCACTACTTGCCTTCACCTAAAATATGTCTGCAGTTGGTTGCTTTTGATTCCCCACCAAAACCATAATCTCTTCCTAGTTTCAAATATCTTCTTTCAGTTTTTTTCATGAATATATTTGACCTTATTCCCCCCCACCCACTTTGTGTAATTTTCCCTGCTCTGAGCACCTACTGCACTATTCAGTACCTAATCTTTGCTTGTACTGACAGTTGTTCCTAGTTATTTAATAAGTACACATTTTCAAATACCAGAGTTGTAAAGTTCCATTAGAATTCACAGTAATATATTGTATAAAATTATTCAAATAAAGACATTATGGAAAACATGCTGAGGAGTTCTCACCTCTCTTCTATCAATAAGCAGTAGATTTTTTTTCTTCTTTATTTTCTTCTAACTTTTTATCTCTTAGCTGATGTCTCTGGTAACTCAGTTCTGTTTTCTACTGCCTATTACTTCATTGGACTGAAGGGCAATAGCTGATGAGGCAGAATAGCATCTCTCTTAAAGCTACCATGTCAAATGCTGTCAGACTTGATTTTACAGCATGATCATTACAGGAGAGGATAGTCAAATGAAGAGAGTACTGACTTCAGCATGCCTGGATTTAATTCCCTACTCTGTAGAAAGCCAACATCACTGATGGTTAAAATGTAAGGCTGAGTATTTCTTAACTCTTGAGTACTGTTCTCCAGTTTTGTTCTGATCCCCATATACACAGGATTATCAGATGCTATGGATGCTTGTGTATGAGTAAATAAAACTGTTCCAGGGATTGCTGTCAGGCACTGGGACTGCCACACCTGTGCTACCAGTCAGCTAGAGCAAACCAGGCATGGTGGGGTCCTGTGCCAACTATCAGTCTCCAATACAATGCTCAGTTCCCATCTGCAATTTGAATCATATAATCACAGAATCACCAAATGTTTTGGGTTGAAAGGAACCTTTAAAGGTCATCTAGTCCAGAGTCTAAATCCCTTAATCCCCTAGCCTGTATTGATACCAGGGGTTGCCCCATCCCAGGTGCAGGACCTTGCACTTGGCCTTGTAGACCTTCATGATGTTCACATTCTTGAGCTTCTTCAGGTCCCTCTGAATAGCAACCCAGACCTAAGGCTTGTCAACCACACCATCCAGCTTGGTGTTGTCTACAAATCTGCTGAGAGTGCACTTGATCCCACTGTCTATGTCATTGATGAAGATGTTAAACAGTATTGGTCTCAATATGGACCCCTGACAGTCGTTACTCATCACTGTCTCCATCCAGACATTGAGCCGTTGACCCCTATTCTATAGATGTGAACATCCAGCTAATTTCTTATCCACCAAAGTCCACCTATGAAATCCATATCTTGCCAATTTAGAGAGAAGGGTGTTGTGGCAGACCGTGTCAAAGACCTTCCAGAAGTCCAGACAGATGACCTGTATGGCTCTTCCCTTGTCCGCTGATCTAGTCACTTCATCATAGAAGGCCACTAGGTTGGTCAGGCAAGACTTGCCCTTGGTGAAGCTATGCTTGCCCTGTCTTCTATGTGTTTTAAAATATCTTCTAGGACTATCTGTTCCATAATCTTCGCAAGCATGGAGGTGAGGCTGGCAGGTCAGTAGTCCCTAGGGTTCTCCTTTTTACCATTTTTAAAAAATGGGTGCAATGTTTCCCGTTTTCCTGCCACTGAGGACTTCACCTGACTACCATAACTTTTCAAGTATCTTGGAGAGTGTCTTGGCAATACATCAGCCAGTTGCCTCAGAACTCTGAGATACATCTTGTCAGGTCCCATAGACTTACGTATGTTCAGGTTCCTCAGGTGGTCTCAAACCGCTTTGAGAGCAGTCACCTCAGAGAGTGAGTGTGGTGTGGAAACATTGTGATGTCTGGCTATGTTCTGTCATCTGCTTTCAGTGACGAGGGAGAATCGCTTTCTTTACTACTGAGAGCATGCTCAGCAGCTCTGAAGAATGCATCTGGGTGGCCTGGAGTAGGTACATACAGATTGAACCAGAGTCCCTCTTTGAAATCTGCTTCATATTACATTATCCCATAATTTTGGAGTGCTTCATAGCATAAATTCTATCCTCTGACACACTCTGTAAAAGAGATTAATGAGACCAAATAAATGATAATGAGTCTGCTGCAGTAGTTAAGCCTCAGTTCAAAGTAACATCTTTCATTTTCAATAAATATTTTGGTAAAGCTGAAACAGTGAAGAGTCACAGTTCCAGGGATCAGACTCTTTTATAATGAGACACACAAGCAGTTTGCCATGGTTCATTAATAAACAGCTTTTTCATCATTGGTCCAGTGTTAGTGATTAAGTGATTTACTTATTACTTCAATAAATGTTTTCTTCCAACTTGACAAAGTTCTTGTGGATTTCTGTTCATCAGTGTCATATCTGCACAGTTCTCCAAAGAAATTATTTACCTGATTTTACAGCTGAAAGTTTCTATAATTCTGAAAACCCAGGTGTTCAAAAACTGTTCCTTTTACTCTCAGACTTGGTTTTGCTTCTGTGAAAATTAGAAACAAATGCAAAACACAGGCAAAAAAGACTAGAAAGAATGGACCATCCTGCAGATAAAAATGAAGAACAAGTACATGAGTATTGCCCATTTTTTGTTTTGTTAAACTAAAGAACTCTTCTGAAGACATATTGCTTTCCAAGAGATGTTTAATTTTATTGTTCTGTCTGCAAATAAATTGAAGAGCTTATGAAGAAACTGACATACTTGTTTATGCATAACTATAGAGGAGTAATTTCTTCCCTTCTGCTTGTTTTCAGTATAGTGGGTTAGTTCCACGGGAGAGCTGGGACATGTGGCATCCAACCCTGGTGGCTGAGGCCCTGTTTGCAATTGCAAACATCTTTAGCTCCCTACGCTTGATCTCATTATTCACTGCAAATTCTCACCTGGGACCTCTGCAGATATCTCTGGGAAGAATGTTGCTGGACATTTTGAAATTTCTCTTCATATACTGCCTTGTGCTCCTAGCTTTTGCAAATGGATTGAACCAGCTGTACTTTTACTATGAGACAAATGAACCTGGCAACTGCAAAGGAATACGATGTGAAAAGCAGAATAATGCATTTTCAACGTAAGTAGCTGATATGTTTCTGTTCTTCCCATCTTCTGTCAATATTTTAATCAGTTAGATGTTGTTTACAGGAAAGAGACTCTCTGTTTTCTATTGGCATTACACAGGTACCCTGACAGACACATCTGAAGTTACCCTAATAATAATGTTCATGCCATACCACAGTGAAGTCTGTACAATTAAAGATATCTCAAAAGATATAAAGCTAAAATAAAGAAGAGGGGGAGATATTATGATATTAGAAAGTACATTCTTGTAATTAAGGGAACATAAGTCACCAAATCAGAGCTTGCTTATGCAGGCAGCTGTCACTCCGCATTTTCTCCATGTCTGCTTGTGGGCACTAAATAAGTTTGGTGTTCTAAAACATGAAGAATCCTTGTAAATGTGATAAATTGAGGCCTGGACGCATTCCTGTGTGACCTAGTCTAGGTGATCCTGCTCTGACAGGGGGGTTGGACTAGATGATCTTTCGAGGTCCCTTCCAACTCCTAATATTCTGTGATTCTGTGATTCTGTTCTGTAGTTCATTTGTATTACCAAAACACTACCAAATGAATACTAGTGTAGGTAGTGTAGCTGAACATTGTACATAAGTGAAATTATGTCAAGCTATCTAGTTGCAGAGGATATTTTAAAGTTGGTTATAGCTTCTTAGCTGTTGTCCCAAACTTCTCTAAGGGAGTATCATATAATTTAGTTATAAAAGCACAAGTCTCATTTGAAAACGGCATGTTTGTTTTTTAATGTGTCTATTCTTTGCAAAACAAAATATATACTAGTGATAATAATGTCTTTCTAATTACACAACTCCTTTTATCTCAATGCCTCTCAGCACAAGCCAGAAGTTGCATAAACTGGCAACACCAAGTAGGTATGAGGATACCATAATTGTTTTAAAATCTTGGTGGAACACAGTCATTGAGTTACTTTTAGGTCCTTATTCTATCCTCTGCAGTAAGGACAAAGGGTCAAAATACTTCAAAGGCAAATGGTCAAAATACTTCAAGGGCAGGTGTCCAAAATAAGATCTCTAAAACTACATTTATCCCTCAGAAGTTTGAACAAAACCAGCCTTTTTTATGCAAGCTTATTTATAGATTCAGTATTGTATATCTAAAGGTGCAGATTTGAAACATTAAGCCATTGTTTCCCTAGAAATATATTCCATATAGATTGACTATTGTGTGATAAATATCATTCATCTCAGTCAAGTCAAGGACTTTTGTGTGTCTGGGGAAAAACTGATCAATCTGAAAAGTGCTTGTATTGTTATTATACAACTACTCATTTCAGGTTTTGTTTTTCAGATTATTTGAAACACTGCAGTCATTATTCTGGTCTATATTTGGACTCATCAATCTCTATGTGACCAATGTGAAAGCAAGGCATGAATTTACTGAATTTGTTGGGGCCACCATGTTTGGTACCTATAATGTAATCTCCCTGGTTGTTCTACTCAATATGCTAATAGCCATGATGAATAATTCTTATCAACTTATTGCTGTAAGTTGTTCCTTATCCTTAGATCATTTGTAATATATACCTTCTCTCTGTTCCTGTTCTGTTACATCCCATTTTTCTGGCAGTAATTTTTTTTTCCAGACAGGATATTGGGACAACTTATCTAATTTTTTTGCACTGTTCTGGAAGGACACAGAACCAGACCCCAGCTGGAATGGGGAGAGGGGAATTTCCCCACAACTCTGAATGGGGAAGAGGTGGCCTTGCTGCAGAAGCCAGCTCATGGGCTGAGAAGGGTGACCTGAAGCTGCTGGCAAGTGACATGGGCTACAGCCCTGCCCAAGCAACACTATGCAGGACCTCTCCTGAGATATAGACTCTGCCAAAAATTGCTCTGTCTCTGCTATATTTTTAATACATCGCATTTATTAACCTTTAAAAGGCTGTTATTTTTGGATTTTTATACACCATGAATATACTGTTAATAGAAATTGGATGCCCATGTTTCAAGGACAATTTTGGACCAATTAGCAATTCAAAGGTCATGACTTCTCATTCAGCAGTGTCCTATTTTTTCCCTTAATGAAAACTGTCTTTATCCTTATCCGAGCTATTGGCTTATTTTTAGTTCTCAGTTGTCTATTAAGGAGACTAATGAAAATAAACACTGATTCATCATATGATAACTCAAATATGATCATGCAGAAAACAAACAAATAAAATAAAGCTTCAAAATCTTAAGATTTTAAAATGTACCTTTTTTCTAATCTGGAAATTACAAGTTTCTCCACAAAAGAAATACTGACTACATGCATTTATGTAACGCTAGTTAGCAAAGTCTGGTATGCAGTACCACAACATAATTCCTCAAAATTCAGACTACAGGTAGTGTGCTTTTCCTACAAATTCTGACTTACTGGTTTGATTACTGTATGTCTGGCTGAATATTAAAAGCTAGGGCTAGACCTGTAGTTTAAATTCTTGGCTACTATGTTTGTTGTCCAACTCTAATATTAGTGATTTAAACTTCTTGTTCAGCTGCTAGGATTTAGCAGTCTTTCCATGGACTTTAGTTTTGGTAATTTTTCAAACTTCTCAAAATTATACAATGTTATATAGAATCCAAAAGAAATAAAATTAAAAAAAACAACAAACAGCAAACAAACAAGACCCAAAAACCCCACAACCTATTCTAAATATATAATTCTCAAGTAGGAGGAAAAAAAAATACTCAACAATTTGTAGTAGCCTCATGATTTGTTGGATAACCTATTTGAATTTTTGGGGCTGGAAATTACTGAGAGAGGGCATAAGACTTACAGTCTTGCTGAAGCTGCTACAGAGCAGAGCAATTAGAGTGATCTATGTGGAATAATGATGAGCTGCTCTTATAACAAAACATCTCTTCCAGAAATGTAGCATTTTTCTGCTTGCAATTATCCTTTGTTGTCTGAGAGACTTTTAATTATTTAAAAGCCTGCAGCAAGGAAAGAAAGGTTGAAAGTGGATATATACTGTACACATCTAACATCGCTTTACTGAAATAAAGCAGTTTAGCATTGCTTTGTGTTAAAGATCTTCTGTTGAAAGAAGATGCCAGTCTTTTAACAAGAAAATTCATTAGTATTTCAAGTTTGTTCTAGTCTTAGGTTTTCAGAATATTGTCGGTGTTTGTTTCACCTCCTTAATTACAGCAGCGTCTGTACTCGTGTGTTTCTTGTGTGCAGGATCATGCAGACATTGAGTGGAAGTTTGCTCGAACAAAACTCTGGATGAGTTACTTTGAGGAAGGAGGAACTCTGCCCACTCCTTTTAATGTCATACCAAGCCCAAAGTCTCTGTGGTATCTGATCAGATGGTTACGGAGACACCTTTGCAAGAAGAAAATTAGAAGGAAGCCTGAAAGTTTTGGAACAATAGGGGTAAGTCCTATGTTTTACTTTGCCTATAGTCCTCTTCTTTACTCTATAGGTGAGTCTTACTGAGCCTTACAGAGCATCCAAAGTGCCAAATAAAGTGCATATGAGTTAGAGAACAATTCTAACAGAGAATATTTTTTACATTCATGTCAATGTATTTGACTGAAGAGAAAGCATCATCGTCTTCCTGTGCAATGACAATACAAACCATGACTGCCTCATCTACAGATAGTGCAAGAAAGATTAAAATGAAACACCAAAGATCAAATGTGTATACTTGTCTACAAGTCCCAGGGGTCTGGTTGTTGATCTTTAGCTTAAGTGTCACAGTTCAAGTATCTTTGAATTATTGTAAACAACAGAGTCATGTATAAAGTATTCCTCATGGGATATTCTCTGTCTCTCTGTTTCTCTCTCTCTGCATGTAATGAAATTAGTTTACCATAAAAGCATTCTTACTAAAAGCTGTTCCCATTAAAGAAAACATTTTGAAAGGTAATAGCATTTACTTGGAATTGCTTACTTGAATTTACATGTAGAATTATTTCAGAATCGCACTGGTACCCTATTCTAATAGTGCTGAGTTGCAGTGAAAGTTCTAGGAAAAAAAGGGGAGGGGAAAGACACACAAGGGGAGCAAGAATAGTCGTGCACCTGGATTCAGCAGATATCCATGTAATATATCAGCCAGAGACTTTCTCTAGTAGCTGCAGTGGGTAAAGTAGATTTGATTTTGACCCTCCTAGCTTTATCCAGTTGAGATACCTCAGTTAGCAGCCGAGGTTTTCTATATTGTCAGAGGAAAGATCCAGGCAACAACCTAACCCACTAACAACTACACGTCTCTAGTTATATTTTCTGCATTTCCCATAGTGAGTGAGTCAGTACCTCAGTAACTAGACTGCATTTAGCCAACTCCAACATAAAGAAAACAATTGCAGGCAAAATGTGGATAATGGCTCT